GCTCATTACTCCAGTGGAAGGACCACTACAAGGGTGGCGCAAGACCGTCAAGGTGACTACTCCAACCGGAAGGAAAATCTCCATCACAACGGGGCAAGGACCGATATTTGAAGAGTCGTTTGAGTCAGAGTCAGAGTTAGAGTCTCTTCCTATAGAGTCATCTAAGTCTTTAGTTGTAGCACCCCCTTCTTCTATCTCTTCTCCTAGGATAGTTAGCGATCAAGTCCCTGAGGACATATCTCTCTTTGATGTAATGATCTCAGAATTTAATAACATGTCTTCTTCTTCTTACTCCTTGTGTTCTTCTTTAACCCAAGATGACGAGCATTGCTTAACTAACAATGAAAATGACAAAGAACTTATTAAAGCAATGGAAACACTTGAAAAGAAAACACCAATAATTGAGGAAACTGAGACGGTTGATATCTTAAATGATTAAACCAATAAAAGAGAAGTTAAAATCGGATTAACACTTAACAAACAAGAAAGAACCGATTTAATTAACTTGCTTAAATAATTCATCGATGTTTTCGCTTGGTCATATGAAGATATGCCAGGCATTAATAGAGAAATAGCTCAACACACCATACCGCTAATTCCAGGAATGAAACCTGTAAAACAAAAGTTGCGTCAAATGAAACCCGACGTAGCTCTTAAAATAAAAGAAAAGGTTCAAAAACAAATAACTGTAGGTTTTATCAAGGTATCCAAATACCCTAAATGGGTCGCCAACGTCGTCCCAGTTCCGAAAAAGGATGGAAGGGTAAGAATGTGTGTCGACTATCGAGATCTAAATAAGGCAAGTCCAAAGGACAACTTCCCTTTACCACACATCGATATTCTGGTGGATAACACAGCGAATCATGTACTTCTCTCGTTGATGGATGGATACGCGGGATACAATCAAATTCTCATGGCGGAAGAAGACATGGAGAAAACAACCTTCATAACACCATGGGGTACTTACTACTACACGGTAATGCCATTCGGGTTGAAAAACGCGGGTGCTACTTACCAACGAGCAGCGACTGTTTTGCTCCATGACATGATGCATAAAGAAGTCGAAGTATATGTGGACGATATGATTGTGAAATCAAAAGATTGCCCAGGCCATCAAATTGAGAAAATTCTTCGAAAGGCTAAGAAAATACAACATGAGGTTGAATCCATCTAAGTGTGCTTTTAAAGTCACCTCAGGTAAGCTTTTGGGTTATGTCATAAGCTCTAGAGGAATAGAGATAGACCCAACCAAGATCAAGGCAATCAGGTCAATGCCGCCGCCCAAAATCGAGAAGCAAATTCGAGGATTTATTGGCCGGTTGCAATACATAAGCAAGTTCATATCAATGACAACAATATGTGAACCAATTTTCAAAAAGCTTAAAAAGAATGTACCAATAATATGGGATGACGAGTGCCAAAAAGCCTTTGAAAAGATCAAAGCCTTTCTCGCAAATCCTCCCGTATTAGCACCAACACTTCCGGGAATACCTCTTAGGTTGTACTTAACAGTCACCAAAGAGACAATAGGAGCCATGCTAGAGCAAGAAATAGAAGGCAAAGAAAATGCGATCTACTATCTAAGCAAAAATATGCTTGAGTATGAAGTACGCTATACACCACTTGAGAAATTGTGCCTCGCATTGGTGTGGGAAACAACCAAATTAAGACATTACATGCTCGTGCATACAGTCTTTGTAGTTTCTCGATTGGATCCACTCAAGTATTTATTCGAGAAATCTACACTCAATTGGCGCATATCAAGATGGATAGTTCACTTAGCCCAATTTGACGTAAGATTCATGACCTAAAAAGCTATCAAAGGATCTACGGTTCGGATTTTCTAGCAGACTTTCCAATAGAAGATTCGACGCCAATACACGACAATGAATTTCCAGACGAAGACTTGATGGTCACCGAGGACGATACTTGGACCTTATACTTCGATGGAACCTCAAACCAAAAGGGATGTGGCGTTGGAGTATTACTAGTATCACCTAAAGAAGAGCATGTTCCAATCTCCATAAAGCTTGATTTCGACGTTACCAACAACGCTGCTGAATACGAAGCATGTGTGGTAGGCCTCGAAACATCTTTGGCATTGGGAGTGAAAAAATTACGAATATTCAGAGACTCTTCTTTGATCATCAATCAAATCTCTAAGAGATGGAAAGTAAGGAGCGAAATCCTAGCCCCTTACCAAACTTATCTGGAAACTCTCACTAATCAGTTAGAGAAGGTGGAATACACATATCTACCTAGAGAAGAAAATCAATTTACTGATGCCTTGGCAAGACTAGCCTCAATGGTTAGGATTCCTACGGAAATCGAGCAAATGCCTCTAACTATAGAAAAAAGGCATAAACCGGCCTACATTCAAGCTATAGAAGATGATGAAGTGATCCAAGATGAAGAAGAAGAAGAAGAACTGTGGTATACGAATATACTCAACTATGTCAACAAAGGAGAATACCCTCCCCATGCTGACAAAAGAGCAAAACGAGCATTAAGACTCTTGGCTTCCCAATACGTACTCATAGACAATGAGTTACACAAAAGGGTACCTAAGGGTCGAGCTCTCTTATGTGTAGGAAAAAATGATGCTCAAAGAGCAATGAGGATAGTCCACGAAGGAATTTGTGAAACTCACGTAAATGGCAAAATGCTAGTCCAAAAGATAAAGCGAGAAGGATACTATTGGACTACCATGAATAGGGATTGTCATCAATACGTAAAAAGATGCCCTAAGTGCCAAATTTACGCCAATCTACAACATATTCCTCCATCTCTACTCTACACCTACACTTCGCCATGGCCATTCTCTACAAGGGGAATTGACATAATTGGCAAAATCACTCCCTCAGGAACAGGAGGTCACGAATACATTTTAGTGGCAATTGATTATTTCACAAAGTGGGTCGAAGCACAATCATACGCTAAACTCACTGCAAAACATGTAGCACTCTTTATCGAAAGAAATATTATTTGTCGATATGGAGTCCCACAAGAAATAATAAGTGACAATGGAACTCACTTTTAAGCTAAGTGTGAAGAATTGTTACAAAAATATGGTATTCAACATCATCATTCTTCCCCTTATAGACCTCAAGCAAACGGAGCAGTCGAAGCAGCTAATAAAAATTTAAAGACTATCATCGAGAAAATGACATAAAATTACAAGGATTGGCTTGACAAACTTCACTTCGCATTGTGGGGTTATCGCACGTCAATTCGCACATCAACAGGAAATACGCCACTTTCCTTGGTTTATGGAATGGATGTCGTACAACCTGTAGAGCTAGAGATACCATCTCTGCGCATTGCATTAGAAAGCAAACTCGATGAAGTTGGGACTAGAGCGAGATATGAGGAGCTAATTCTACCTGATGAAAAACGACTAGAAGTTATACATCATACTCAATGCCATCAAACTTGAATGGCTAGGCATTTTAATAAGAAGGTCAAGACAAGAAACATAAAAGTAGGAGACTTGGTGTTAAAAGCATTAAGGAAAAATGTTTTAGATCCAAGGGGAAAATTTAGACCTAATTGGTCTGGACCCTATATTGTCAAAACAATCATGTCAGGAGGTGCAGCAAAATTAACTGATATGGATGGAAATGAGTTCTCGAACATGACAAATCTTAACCAACTTAAAAAGTACTACCCATAATCACTTGAGTAGGACATTCAAGAGAGCTACGTTTGGCCTGATTCCTAAAGAAAGGATATGTAGGCAACCCTTTACGGGAGCGGCCACTTTATTTTTTTCAAACCACGCATCCCAGACTTAATAAAAAATCTGACAGAAATCGACGAAACATCGGCGTCACAGAAAAAAATTCTGGCGCCAGACGACAACGCCTATCGCTTGATGCCAGACTGCCGCAGCTAGCGCCAATCGTAAAAACGCGACGCCAATTTTCTGCAAAGTTCCTGGGAATATTTCGGTGTTTTTTCGACTTCCGTACTCGAAAAAACTTCTGGAAAATTAAATTTTCAGTTTTCATTGCTTTAATAAATTAAATTTAAAGGAGATAATTTAATTAAAAAAAGCTGCAATTACATTAATAAAATAAACTAACAATTACATTATTGATGGAATTTAAATAAAGCTTAAAAAAATTAACTTTGAATTTAAAACTAAGCCTAATAATTGAAAGTTAATCAATGCTGTAATCTTCTTTCTCTTTCTTTGCTCTCTTCCAATTTTTATCTACATCTTCTTCATCCATAACTCTATCTAGTAGGTGATACATGTCGTTTCCCGTATAAAATTAATTAATAATTTATCTTAACTTAAACCTCAAAAATATTAACAACTAGTAAAAAGGGTAAGTAAGAGTCGAACCCACGAGGAAATTAATTAACTCTATAAACTCAAAATAAACTCGAAACGTAAACTATATACATAAAAGAGTATTATTCACACTATATACATGAGATTGGAGGGGGGGGTGTTAAATGATAATAGTCAACTTATACTACTATGAAAAATAGGATTTAAACTACTATATACAATTGATGACAGACTTAACCAACCCTATTCATAACTTTACTCGAATTAAACTACTGGAAATTATAACTAACCGGCCTTGCACGATTAATCAACTTAATTACTAGACTAACTGTATAGACTTTAGTAACAAAGACTCCCTATCTCCCTTATTTGAAACCAATTGCGAACTAAGCCAAAACCGACTCTAAACCAATCTAATTAACACAAATATGTTGCAACTTGCATGAATTAGTCTTGGCAGCATTAATATCTAGGAGACCTCATTAGTCCTAACTAATCTAATCACTTAAATGTCAGATTAATTAGATTGAAATTACTTTCTAATTTAAACCAAACCGTAGTCGCAAACTCGATTTAAAATTACGGACTACTCTCTTATACGATTCAAACTAAGCCAAACCATATAGATAGCAATAATTCACAACTAACAACTTGAAAGACTACAATCAATATCGAATTGCAAATTTATCACTCAAGAACAAGCAAATTTCAAATACCCATTAAATCGAAAAAATAGTACTATCAAGATTCAATTATAATACCAATAAACCAATAAAAGTATCTCATCAAACCAGCAAGGAACATCAAATAAATCAGTAACATGGAACAATTAAGTTAAGAATAAGACTTATGAAATATACTCCCAAGAACACCCGAATAAACTCGGCTTCGACCCCGCGATTCACCTTTGTTTTGCGTACTACCTTGGATGCGAGACTAAGCTGCCCTCCAATGGCTATCTTCACTTCACCAATTGCCAATTACGAACTCACTCGAACGATCTCGCTCTTTGTATAATTGTTGGATAAGTTGTGTCTTTTGCAGAAATAATTGGGGATTTTTATAGATCAAGAACGACCTAAATTTTCTGGGATTGAAGAGATAAATTTGTGAACAAAGATAGAGATTCATCTTTCTTTATCTAGCCTTGAATTTCGGATAGAAATTATCAGTATTGATGAAGATGAATCTTGAATATTTGTGGGTTTGGATTAGTTCATTGTTTTTCACGCCACTTCCTTCCTTCCTTCTTATCTTTTTTTTTTCTTTTTTTTTTCTTTTTCTTGCTTTCTTTTAATTTGGTTGCACGTGATCTTCAGTGGTGACACAAGTGGGCTTCTTGAAGCTATTTTGCATTCTCCAATTCAAGTCCACCTTATTATTTCCCTTTGACTTTCTACCAAAAATACACAACATAATATTAAGTGTCACTTATTATAAAATAGGTATAAAATACTATACTAACATAAAATAAGAACTAAAAATATTAAAGTGACTAATTTCATAAAACAACTAATAGAAAACGATAATAAGACTAATATTAGGGACTAAAAATATGGTATATTTTGCACTTATCAAATTCCCCCACACTTTGTCTTTGATCGCCCTCGAATAAACTAAATAGAACTAACCTATAAAAGCAATAAACCTGACTCACTGTCGTAGGAATCATGATTACACTTAGCATGTGCAACAAGCCCTTTAAACATGAAGACATACCCACAAAGTCTCTTCATTTGAAATCTTTGAACCAATCAGCAAATATAACTAACATAGGCATATAAGCACTCACCAGCATGCATGGACTATATATTTGACATTTATAAAGATTTTAACACCCTTAATGTCCGACATCGTATCATTTCCGTTTCTCACCTTTATTTTTATGTATTTGATTAGATGGACATCAGAACTTTTATGGAATGTAAAATCAACAAGGTAAAATAAAGGTGGGAGATATGTTTAGGTTTGTAGTGGTAAGGTGGAAATTAGTAGAGCACATTACTAGTACATTTATATCACACATCTCCAACATTGAACTTGACATTTTTTTTTCTGGTCTTAGGACTCTTAATGCTTTATTTCTGTCAAATAGTTCTTGTAGCGAGTGTTCGACCAGTGACTCCCGGTCCAATTGGCCCAAGGCACTAGGTTTTAAGATACCCCTACGGATCTACTTACTCGAACTACTTAAGCACGAGATAAAAACATCACACGTACATAACTGGCTTTTTTTTTTAATGTACATATATGTGAATCACTTTCTAAACCCAGACATTGGTACGCAGAGCCTTCAAATTTGAAACTTTTCATTAGAAAACCACCAAATAATGACAACCACCATTCCATTTTATATCACAATTTAACAATATGCTCTACTAATCCCAAAAGGTGTTTCAATCGTTTTCTGGACAGGGCACATTTGTGAGTTTTATATGATAAGAAAACAAACTTAAGCTCAAATTGGCTCAATATTGGATGATGTTAATGATAGGCTTTGAGACATGATAAAATTATTAGTGAGAAACAAACACTTTTACTAATCATACCAAAGAGGGGTTTAAGCTATCTTTCATGTCTGTAATCCACATCATGCAATAAATAAAAGATTTTTTTTTATTTATTTATTTGCTGATCAACCTAGGGGTGAAACAAATTCGGGTTAAAACCGAACCGAACCGAAAACCGAACCGAATAAGAAATATGGTTCGGTTTTTTTTTTGAAGTGGTTCGGTTCGGTTTTTTAAAAAAAAATATTTCGGTTTTCGGTTTGGTTTCGGTTTGAGGAAATGGAAAACCGAAAAAAACCGAAAACCGAAATTTAGGCCCAGTATATAAGGAAAAAAAAAAAAAACCCTAACCCTCATTCTCTGATTCTCTCTCCTGACTTCCTCAGTTCGCCTCTTTTGCGAATTTCTCAGTCTCTCACCCTCACCTTCTCAGTTTCTCAATCATCTCTTTTGTGTTTCTCAGAATTCTCACTCTCCAATTCTCCATCGTTCACCGGCACAGCGCACTCGTTCAGGCGTTCACTGTGACACCGTCCACCGTCCAAAGGTATGCTTTTAAGTTTTGATTATGCTTGATGTTCATATTTTTTTAGGGTTTTAATTATGATTAGTGTTAAATGTTAATTACGAAAATCTGCAAATTACATGTACAAATTTGTTAAACATTCTGATTAGGGTTTTAATCTATGCTTGATGTTCATATTGCGATGTTGTTTCTGAATTTTCTATTCTGTACAAATTAGTAAAACATTCTGAATTTCCTGGTATTTTGATGCTTCGGGGTTTTGGTCTATTCAAGGGTATTTTGGGTTTTGGTCTAGTAAAACATTCTGATTAGGGTTTTGGTCTAGTAAAACATTCTGAATTTTCTGGTATTTTGAAGCTCTATTCGATTGGACTCTGTTGAAGATTGTTTCAGATTATTAGTTAGTTATTAATTCAAGGGTTCGCATGATTAATAGCATTATCATTGTCTTGATAAGTGTTTATTAGATTGTTGATCTTTGTTATTATTGTTAATTTTGATTTTACTTGTTTTGGGTACAGTTAGTCAGTTAGTGCTTAATTTGATTGTTTTTGGGTGGTGGGGTGGAATCTTAGGGGGCTAATTATTATTGCTAAATTGTTATTGTCTTTGGTTTAGTTAGCCAGTTACTACTGATTTTGTTTATTAGGGGTATAATTATTATTCCCTTTAAAAGATCCAATATTCTTAATTTATGAGTTTGCATGTATTCTTACAGATTGTTATTCAACCACGAATTATTGAATGACAACCAACGTGGGTGGTGTTCCTGACCAGCCTCAATCCGAACATGAGACTGACCAAGTCTCTCAAAATCAGAAAAAAGAACAGGGAGCAAAAAGGAAGAGGATGAAAGAACGCTCTGAAGTTTGGGAGCACTTTGATAAAGAAGACTTACCTTCTGGAATGCAGGCAATTTGCAAGTATTGTGGGATGAGCTACAAGTGTGGGGCAAAGAAAAACGGCACTAGTGTGTTATGGGCTCATATTTCGCGATGTCGTAAGTATCCCTTTAACACCCCTAAAGATTCAAAACAAAGTTTGCTTTCATTTAAAAGTGCTAAAGAACCAAGTGGTGGTACTAGTGGGTTGACATACCACAAATTTGATGCTGGTAGTATTAGAAAAGCTTTGTCATTTATGGTGATTGTTGATGAACTTCCATTTAAGTTTGTTGAAGGTATAGGTTTTAGACATTTTTGTGGTGTAATAGAGCCTAGATTTAATGTTCCTTCTCGAATTACAGTAGCCAAAGATTGTTTTGAAACATATTTAACTGAAAAACGAAAGCTGAAAAATGTGTTAAAAAGGTGTAATTCAAGAGTTTCTTTAACCACTGATACATGGACCTCTATACAACAAATCAATTACATGTGCTTGACTGTCCACTTTATTGATAATAATTGGAAATTACACAAAAGAATTCTGAATTTTTGTCCTATTTCTAGTCATAAGGGTGATGATATTGGCAAAGAAATTGAAAAGTGTTTGCTTGATTGGGGGCTTGAAAATGTCATGTGCATAACAGTTGATAATGCTAGCTCAAATGATACTGCAATTGGGTATATGAGAAGGAAAATAAATGGGTGGAAAACTGGGGTTCTTAAGGGTCGTTTCCTTCACATGCGTTGTGTTGCACACATTGTCAATTTGGTTGTTTCTGATGGGTTGAAAACTGTTAATGAGTCGGTTCAACGTGTTAGGCATGCTGTTAGGTTTATCAAACAATCTCCTGCTAGGTTGCAAAGGTTTAAAAAATGTGTCTTAGATGAAAAAATCAACACAAAAAAGGGATTGTGCCTTGATGTGCCTACTAGGTGGAACTCCACCTATTTGATGTTGAATGCTGCTATTGAGCTTCAAGATGCTTTTGAGAGGTATTCTGGGGAAGACCCTCACTATGTAGTTGATTTGAATGAGAGGGATGGTAAGGGTAGCCCAGATTCTGATGATTGGAATAATGTAAGAAGACTTTCTGAATTTCTACAAGCCTTTTATGATCTGACCTTGCATGTCTCTGGCTCTTTATATGTCAGTTTGAATTTGTTTTTTCATGAATTGGTGAGTGTTGCTGTACTTATGAAAGATTTGGTTTCAAGTGATGATGTGGATATGTGTCTTATGGCTTGTAGAATGAAAGAAAAATATGAAAAGTATTGGGGTGATCCAGAAAAAATAAACCTCCTGATTTTTATTGCCGTTGTCCTTGATCCTCGTTATAAGCTTGATTATGTTGAGTGGATGATAACTGAAATTTATGACCCTATTGTTGCATCAAAGTTAGTTGATAATGTGAAGGTAGCTTTGAATGCTTTGTATGAGGAGTATCGTGTTTCTTCTAGTAATGATGTGAATAGGGAGGAAGTGTCTTCAAGTAAGGATGGCAAAACTCCATTGAGTCCCAAACATAAAAGTATTGAAGTCTTAAAGAGTAAGTATAAGAAACACAAGTGTGAGAGAGATGGAGATGCAAAAATAGAGTTAGACAAATATTTGGAGGAGGATACAGCGGAGGATATTGATGAATTTGACATTTTGAGCTGGTGGAAGTTCAATTGTTCAAGGTTTCCTACTGTGGGGAGAATTGCCCGTGATGTTCTTGCTGTCCCTGTTTCGACAGTAGCTTCTGAGAGTGCATTCAGCACTGGGGGCAGGGTTCTAGATCAGTTTAGGAGCTCATTAACTCCTCGAGTTGTAGAAGGTCTTGTTTGTGCTCAAAATTGGTTACGTGCTTCACCATTTCCAAGTATTGAAGAATGTTTAGAGGAAGTTGAGCTTCTTGAAGAGGGTAATATATAAGAACATCTAATCATAAGTTACTTATTTTCATTATGTGTATATATTTTTAACTTGGTTATTTTTGTTATGAATTATGATAGACTTGAAGAATATGGCAGTTGGTGATGCTGATATTGATGAAGTGCTTGAAATAATAGACTGATGTGGCTCTTTGCTCATTGCTGACTTGCTGTTGCCACTTGCCAGACTTGCTACTGCCTTGCTCTATCACTGCTTTTGCTGCTGACCTGCTGTTATGATGCTGCTGCTGCCCTGCTGCTTGTTGCTACTTGGTCTATGCTGCTTGTTGCTACTTTTTTTACTGCCTTTTAGAACTTGGTCTATGCTGCTTGTTGCTACTGCTGTTAAACAATTGTTAAAGTTGTAATGTTGAACAATTTTTTTTTTTTTGGATGAAGTGTTGAACTTTTAAAACTTTGAATTATAACTTTGAAGTTTTAGAACTTGTTAATGTTGTTTAAATCTCATTAAGCATTTATGCTACTACATATGTTGATGAATATAATATTTATATGATTTAAGCCCACAAAAATTGCAGATTAAAGCCCAAATAAACAAGGCCCAAAAAAATTCGGTTTGGTTCGGTTTTTTCTTTTGAAACCGAAATTTATATGGTTTGGTTTGGTTTGGTTTCAAAAGTAAAGTGGTGCGGTTTGGTTTCCAAAAACCAAAAACCGAATTAGGGTGGTTCGGTTTCGGTTTGGCCTATAAACCAAACCGAAAACCGAACTTTCACCCCTAGATCAACCCAAAGTTCCTTCATTTATTTACGAAACTAGCAATCTAAAATAACAAGCTTTTTAATCTAAAATTCGGCAACACCTCCTCTAAATTAGTAGCAGTCTACTAAAAAATGAGCTATTTTAATCAATGCATTTACAACCAAATATCCATTCAAATAGCATTCTCTCCACAAAAACCAAACCAATTTCAAATATTCAATCCCCCCCCCCCTCGCACTTAAACTTTTCATTGTCCTCGATGAAAACAAAGTTAAGAAAGGAAAGGGAAACTTAGCTGGTCATGTAAGTAGTAGACTTTGAGCTTACAGAATGTTTGTGATGATGCTGCTATCTGTCCGCTTATTAGCTTAACTGAATGGCTGCAGCAATGCACAAAGAGAAAATGAGACAGAATCGTTAGCATAACTCAGAGACTCTTAAGTAATCTGTTCCTGAAATATTAATGGCTCTAAATTTAATGACTCATAGACACAAACTAGAAAAAAATAAAATAAAATAAAATAAAACTGACATGGCAGAATTGAAAAGTAAAACAAAATATCAAAACTAAAAACAGTAGAAAATAAACTAGGGAAAGAACAAAGATAGCCTTGGGTTGCCTCCCAAGTAGCGCCTTTAGTTTATGTTGTTGGCTCAACGTTCTTCTCTTCATGCTTGTTCGAAGAACATGTCTTCAATCATGGTCACATAAGCTTGGTCATAGAATGGTTTTAACCTGTGACCATTAACCTTGAAAGTTTTGTTGGTATCAAAATCTTTGACTTCTACTGCACCATGATGAAAAACATTAGTAACAACAAAAGGGCCAAGCCATCTAGTTTGCAATTTTCCTGGAAATAATTTCAAACGAGCATTAAAAAGAAGAACTTTTTGTCCAACCTGAAACGATTTCCTAGCTATGTTCTTATCGTGGAAGGCTTTGGTTTTGTCTTTATAGATTTTGGCATTTTCATATGCCTCTAACCTTAATTCTTCCAATTCAAGCAACTGTAATTTCCTCTTATTTCCAGCAAGGTCATAGTCTAAATTACATTACTTTACTGCCCAAAAAGACTTATGCTCAATTTCCACTGGCAAGTGACATGCTTTACCAAAAACAAGTCTAAATGGAGACATCTCTAAAGGAGTTTTATATGCAGTTCTATATGCCCATAATGCATCACCTAATCGAAGACTCCAATCTTTCCTATTAGGATTAACCATTTTCTCAAGAATCGATTTTATTTCTCTGTTAGAAACAACTTCAGCCTGCCCACTAGTTTGTGGGTGGTATGCAGTAGCAACTTTGTGGGTTACATGAAATTTCTCCAAAAGTGCACCAAAGGTTTTGTTGCAAAAATGAGTCCCTCTATCACTTATGATGGCCTTAGGCATGCCAAATCTATTAAAAATATGACTCCTAAAAAATTTAACAATTGTTTTAGCATCATAAGTTATCAAAACTTTGGCTTCTACCCATTTAGATACATAATCGACAGCAAGAATGATATAAACTTTACCAAAAGAAGAAGGAAAGGGGCCCATAAAATCTATACCCCACACATCAAATATTTCGCAAATAAGGATACCAGATTGAGGCATTTCATTTCTTTTAGACAAATTTCCAGTCTTTTGGCAACGTTCACAAGATTTACAAAACAAATATGCATCTTTGTAAATAGTAGGCCAATATAAACCACATTCAAGTACCTTATGAGCAGTCCTCTAAGGACCAAAATGTCCTCCACCTTCAAAATTATGACAAAAAGTAAGAATAGAGGCATATTCAGGTTTGTCAACACATCTCCTAATCATTTGGTCAGAACATGATTTCCATAAATATGGATTATCCCACATTATAATATTTAGAATCAGATATAATCTTATTCTTTTGAGCTTTAGTGAGTGTAGGGGGAAATGTTCCAGTCACTAGATAGTTAACAATATCAGCATACCAAGGAGTGTCAACAGTATATAAAGATGGAAGCTGCTCATCTGGAAAAAACTCAGTTATTAAAGGCCAATCCTCTCTGGGTACAATTCTACTTAGATGGTCGGCAACTGGATTTTCAACGCCCTTCTTATCTCTAATTTCCACATTAAATTCCTGTAATAGAAGCATCCACCTAAGCAACTTAGGTGTTGAGTGACTCTTCTTTAACAAATACTTAAGAGTTGCATGATCAGAATAAACAATCACACGAGTGCCAAGTAAGTAGGGCCTAAACTTCTCTAAAGCAAAAACAACAGCATACATCTCTTTTTCTGTAATTGCATTGGGCATAATCAAGTGATTTATAAGCATAATGGATCACAAAAGACTCTTTATCCTTCTTTTAACCTAAAACTGCTCCTACTGCCTTATTACTAGCATCACACATAATTTCAAAAGGTAAAGACCAATCCGGGGGTCTAATCATAGGAGCACTTGTCAATTTGTCTTTTAAATCATCAAAAGCCTTTTTGCATTCATCATTAAAGTTAAAAACAACATCTTTAGCAAGCAAAGCACATAAAGGTGAAGCAATCGTAGAGAAATTTTTAATAAAGCGTCTATAAAATCCAGCATGTCCTAAAAATGATCCAACTTCACGAACACATGTAGGATATGGCAAAGAACTAATGACATCAATTTTCGCATTATCAACCTCTAAACCTTTTGCACTAACAATATGACCAAGAACTACTCCTTGTTCAACCATAAAATGACATTTTTCAAAATTCAAAATAAGGTTAGTTTCAACACATCTTTTCAAAACTTGAGATAAATCACGAAGACATCTATCAAATGAATCACCTTGTTGAATCAAATTAGAAAATATACTCATCATGCATCTTTGAAATATTCCAAGAGCATTGCATAAACCAAAAGGCATTCTTCTAAAAGCAAATGTACCAAAAGGACAAGTAAAAGTGGTTTTATCTTGATCTTCAGGAGCAATGGGTACTTGTGTGTAATTAGAATAACCATCAAGAAAACAGAAAAAAGATTGTCCAGCAAGTTTTTCTAACATCTGATCAATAAATGGAAGGGGAAAATGATCTTTTCTAGTAGCTTGATTAAGCTTTCTATAGTCAATACAACTTCTCCATCCATTAGAAACTCGAGTAGGGATAAGTTCTCCTTCATTATTTTCTACAACAGTTATTCCACTCTTTTTAGGTACCACATGAATTAGACTTACCCATTGGGAATCAGAAATAGGGTAAATCACTCCTGCATCTAACCACTTTAGAATTTCCTTTTTTAACTACTTCCATCATTGAAGGATTTAATCTACGTTGAGCCTCTCTAGTTGGTTTAGCATCTTTTCAAGAAAAATTTTATGCATGCACATAGCGGGGCTAATGCCTTTTATGTCGGCTAAAGTCCATCCTAAGGCTTCCTTATGATTTTTAAGCAAATTCAATAACCTAGTCTCTTGAGATTCATTTAAAGAACTTGAAATAATCACAGGTAGAGTCTCATTATCACCCAATATAAGCATACTTCAGATTAGAGGGAAGGGGCTTCAATTCTAATTCAGGTGGCTTAACAATAGAAGGAATCAATTTAGGCAGAGGGAAAAGATTTTTCACATCCATTAGAAACATCAGATTCAATCACATCAGACGATGCTACAAAAGAATCAACTAATTCTGTTTTTTTCAACATCACCAAAAACACCATTTTCAAACAAATTTTCACACCACTCATCAAAGACATCCTGAGCCATCCAATCACATGCATCAAAAGAATCTATAGAACTAACATTATTGACATCATTAGGGTATTTCATAGCATCAAATATGTTGAATTTTATCAATTCTCCATCAAATTCCATTGTCAAATTACCTTCATGAACATCAATTTTAGTCTTGGAAGTCTTTAGAAAAGGTCGTCCCAACAACAAAGGAACACTATCAGACCTATCACCCATATCAAGCACATAAAAATCAGCAGGAAAAACTTATTCATTCACTTGAACAAGCACATCTTCTAAAACTCCCATGGGAAATGCATTAGATCTACAAGCTATTTGGATAACAACATTAGTCTTAGACAAAAGACCCACATTCAAGGTATCATATACAGATTTAGGCATGACATTGATTGAAGCACCTAAGTCTAACATGCATCTTTCAAAAATAGAATTTCCAATCTTACATGGAATTGAAAACATGTTAGGATCCTTACATTTAGGGGGAAGTTTCTTTTGAATTACAGCTGAAATATTTCCCCCATACTTACCTTTTCAAAAGGGCGAAATTGTCTTTTATTAGTACAAAGTTCCTTAAGAAACTTTGCATAGCGTGGTACCTGCTTAATAGCATCAAGAAGAGGAATATTAACTTCAACTTTCCTAAAAGTCTCTAGAATTTCATTATCCATGGCTTCTTTCCCAGACTTAGAAAATCAAGAGGGGAAAGGGGGAACATCTTTAAAACGAGAAACATCAAAATTCACACCAGAATTACCCTTCCCTACAGGTTCTTTCTTGCTCTCCTTATCATGTTTTTTCTTACTCTCTCCAACTATATCCTTAGGTCTGACTTCTACTTCTTTCTCCACTGCTCTATTCTTCATTTTAGGTTCTGCTAACTCTTTACCACTCCTAAGTGTTACAGCTTTAGCATGTTCATTTGGATTGGCAAGTGTTTGAGAAGGAAGTCTATTCGAGAGTTGAGATTCCAAATTACTCAGAGTAGTGCTTATTTTACCTATTTGAGTGTCTATGTGATGTAGGTGAATGTCAGTTTTCTTTTGATATTCAACACCTTGATCATGAACCTGTCCTATTTGGTTTGCAAACTGTTTCACCAAGTCTTCTAATGAAGGGCTAGCAGGTTTATGTGATGGGTTTTGTTGACTATGTTGCTTAAATTGATTAATCTGTTGAAATTGTGGTCTATTTCCATACCTTAGATTAGGGTGGTCTTTCCAACCTTCATTATAAGTTTGTGAGAAAGGATCATAATTCCTATTTTGTTGACTAGGAAAACCCCCTAAGGCATTAGCATCTTCATTCTGTAAAGTAGGACATTCATCAGTAGCATGAGAAAATCAGAACAAACACCACAAACTCTGGATTTAGACTCATTACTAGCAATTTTAGAAACAAGAGTAGTCAAAGTAGTAGCAATTTGTTGAGAATTTTCTTGCAATTGATTATGAATACCACTTATATCAATTTCATTTACTCTTTTAACATCATTTCTAGTGCTAAACTGCTGTGTATTCTGAGCCATATTAGAGATTAATTTTCTAGCTTCGGTAGGTGTTTTATCAACTAATGCACCCCCACTAGATGCATCTATCATACCTCTATCATTAGGTAACAAACCCTCATAAAAGTATTGAATTAATAATTGATCACTTATTTTGTGTTGTGGACAAGATGAACAAAGCCTATTAAAACGTTGCTAGTACTCATATAAAGACTCATTATTACTCTGTCTAATTCCACAAATTTCCTTCCAAATAGAACCTATACGACTCGCAGGAAAGAATCTTTCAAGAAAAACTTTTTCCAATTCTGCCCAAGAATTAATGGAACTAGATGGAAGTTGCTCATATAACCACTCTTTAGCAGGATCTTGCAAAGAAAAAAGGAAAAGCATGCAATCTAATATGTTCCTGTTCTATTCCTTCTGGATTCATAGAAGAACATACAACTCTAAACTCTTTTAAATGTCTCTAATTCTCACCTGCGTTCCCATAGAATTTAGGGAGAAGATTAAGGAAACCTGAGTTCAGTTTGAGGGGATTCTCTAGCTCCGGAAAGACAATGCAGAGAGGATCTTCTCCTGTTTTAGGGGCTCCCAGTTCTTTCAATGTCTGTTCTGCCATGTTGTTATATTTAATCGGCAATGGATCTTCTAATTCAAGTGCTGGTTCAGCACTGAAAATATGAAGAAGCTCCTCTGGTTTCGCTCCGTTTATCAAGTCTATGTACGCTCTTATGCGCTGAAGTCTTGCTTCTTTATCGTACGCGTACATGCACCTATAAAGAAAACATAAATTAATGAGAGATGAACTTGTGTGAAAATAAATTTCTGGTCAGAACCAAAATATAGGCAAAATAAAGAGTTGATATCAGTTATTCAGATCAAACAAGACATGTTTGATTACAGGTAGTTCTGACAGTAAGTATGCTGAAATTAAGAAGCATCAGACAAACTAAGAAATTATATGAACCTGACCAAGCAATCTCATGAAATCATCGGTTGTCATGTGCAAACTCTCACAACTAATTTTGCTCAAATTTTACTCAAGTAGATATAAATCAGTTTAGCATTTCAACAAAATTTTAGCAAAGTGGTCTTCCTGAAATTAGGATTAAGCATACAATCATTCATGCATCTGTCAAAATTCAACACGTAAAGCTAGCTATTACCAATCTTATTCTGTCATATTACTTCTGCCAGGTCTTATTAGGACACTTTTATAACATGCATAATTTAGTTTTATTAATTGTTCTTTTATCAGATTTCTCATCCAAGGCTGTCAATACTTGCAAAAACATAAAGATGAGAAAGTAACAAGTACAAGAATCCTTATGAGCAGTCTAATCAGAACATAAACAAAACATGCATCACAGCCATATAATTTGAAATACATCATATGCATTTGATGCACAATATTGCTAACAGAAAAAGTCTACCTTAAAATAGAATGTGTAAGAAATAAGGTCTCTATTCTATAATGTAGATAATACTACCTACATAAAATATTTTCCACTACTATGACTGCATTATTTCTAGAGGCAGAAAAAATCAGGTAAGTCACGCAATAGGTACAACAATATATGATGTGCAACTCAGGATATTACTATCATAAAATAAGGGAATTCTTGCAATTTCACTTGAATTTTAATTCACATATAGTTTTTATTTTATGAGGCCATATAATTTTTCAAGGTGCACAATAATAATCTGACCAAACACGATGCAGCAAGAATAAGGATACTAGCATAACCAATAACTTTGTATAAATTAACTCTTTCACCTAAGTGGGAAACTAGATGGCAATATAAGTCCTTGTAGAGTTCATTTTCCTCACAGATAACAAGCACAAATCATGCAAAAAGATGTTAGTAAACATGACATGAACTTGTCAATATGAACACTATTATGTGAGTTAGTTTAGATTACGCTTGCAAAAACTTGTCCAATAAACAAGCAATATTCCGTAAAACTAACTCATTGACAGATGACACTAATTACCACAAGTTAAGCCAGATTTGAAAATAAACTTATTCTAATGATAAGTGTACCAACCACTTTATATTGTTACAATCAAATAGCTTGATAATTCATATTCTCTGATGATAAACATACTAATTAGTATACTAGCCCTATTATACCCTAGCATACCTCAATCCATTAGAACCATATTGATCAGACACCTTTAGCTATCAGATGCATAATAAAACAATTAAAATCAAGCAATAGTTAAGCTAGTGGCATGCATGTGATTTGTAATTTACATCAATTTACCATATACATACTCCTTGATAAGGACTTTCACTCCTACCTCAAACACTAATTAGAACTACCAAGCTCATTACAATATTTCATAATCCATTGGCAAATTGAACTGAGATATATCCTAAACTATAAAAGCAAAAATCAGAACTGTCAAAAAGTTACAGTTGGCCACTAGTACTCTCCACAAATACATAAATACAGAACATTAGTTAAACCATGAATTTATAGAATATTAAAAACAATCTCCCCGGCAACGGCGCCAAAATTTGATACGTGTCGTTTCCCGTATAAAATTAATTAATAATTTAATTTAACTTAAACCTCAAAAATATTAACAACTAGTAAAAAGGGTAAGTAAGGGTCAAACCCACGAGGAGATTAACTAATTCTATAAACTCAAAATAAACTCGAAACGTAAACTATATACATAAAAGAGTATTATTCACACTATATACATGAGATTGGGGGGGTTTAAATGATAATAGTCAACTAATACTACTATGAAAAATAGGATCTAAACTACTATATACAATTGACGACAGACTTAACCAACCCTATTCATAACTTTACTTGAATTAAACTATTGGAAATTATAACTAACCGGCCTTGCACGATTAATCAACTTAATTACTAGACTAACTGTAGAGACTTTAGTAACAAAGACTCCCTATCTCCCTTATTTGAAACCAATTGCGAACTAAGCCAAAATCGACTCTAAACCAATCTAATTAACACAAATATGTTGCAACTTGCATGAATTAGTCTTGGCATCATTAATATCTAGGAGACCCCATTATTCCTAACTAATCTAATCACATAAATGTCAGATTAATTAGATTGAAATTGCTTTCTAATTTAAACCAAACCGTAATCGCAGACTCGATTTAAAATTACGGACTACTCTCTTATACGATTCAAACTAAGCCAAACCATATAGATAGCAATAATTCACAACTAACAACTTGAAAGACAACAATCAATATCGAATTGCAAATTTATCACTCAAGAACAAGCAAATTTCAAATACCCATTAAATCGAAAAAACATAGTACTATCAAGATTCAATTATAATACCAATAAACCAATAAAAAGATCTCATCAAACTAGCAAGGAACATCAAATAAATCAGTAACATGGAACAATTAAGTTAAGAAGAAGACTTATGAAATATACTCCCAAGAACACCCGAATAAACTTGGCTTCGACCCCGCGATTCACCTTCGTTCTCGTACTACCTTTGATGCGAGACTAAGCTGCACTCCAATGGCTATCTTCTCTTCACCAATTGCCCAATTACGAACTCACTTGAACGATCTCGTTCTTTGTATAATTGTTGGCTAAGTTGTGTCTTTTACAGAAATAATTGGGGATTTTTATAGATCAAGAACGATCTAAATTTTCTGGGATTGAAGAGATAAATTTGTGAAAAAAGATAGAGATTCATCTTCCTTTATATTGCCTTGAATTTCGGATAGAAATTATCAGTATTGATGAAGATGAATCTTGAATATTTGTGGGTTTGGATTAGTTCATTGTTTTTCATGCCACTTCCTTCCTTCCTTCTTATCTTTTTTTTTTCTTTTTTTTTTCTTTTTCTTGCTTTCTTTTCATTTGGTTGCACGTGATCTTTAGTGGTGACACAAGTGGGTTTCTTGAAGCTATTTTGCATTCTCCAATTCAAGTCCACCTTATTATTTCCCTTTGACTTCCTACCAAAAATACACAATATAATATTAATTGTCACTTATTATAAAATAGGTATAAAATACTATACTAACATAAAATAAGAACTAAAAATATTTAAGTGACTAATTTCATAAAATAACTAATAGAAAACGATTATAAGACTAATATTAGGGACTAAAAATATGGTATATTTTGCACTTATTAGTAGGCATCCTTTAGAGAACATACATTCAATTTTGGAGTAAATAATTTCTCCCTTAGCTAGGACTCCATGCTTCTTTTCTACCCAAGTCTTCTTCTCGGTAGTGTCAGCTTTTCTCTTTCCTTTATCCTTCGTAGAGCTTTTCTTCTTAGGCATTGTAGGTGTTTTGAACTCAACTCTTTCACCCAAGCGTTCCTTAACGGGAATCACTTTGTCACCTAGACGACTCTTCACATCAGTTTTACTCTGAATTTTCTTCATGTCCTTTGAAGTTTTCTTCAGAAGCCACTTCTTCACATCATCGGGCAAGGAAGGAGGAACCTTTTGGGTAATCACTTCCCATAAATGTCTAGCGCTCCAATAAGTATCAAATTTGTCTACTTCTAGAGAGACAGGAAATTCATAGGGACGACAAAGATCCCCGGAAGGAATTGTTTGAAGTAGTGACAGGGTAAAGTCGTATCCCCTAATCAAAAATTAAATACCTAAATCACTAACTAAGGTAGATAGGGAAGTAGGGTCGATCTCCACAGGGAAACAAGTCTTTTTACTTCCAATTAATTATTATAATCTAAATTATTTAAGTAACCAATATTTATAATTAAGTATGAGACTAAACTACAAAGAATAAGAGTAGGGAGAAAACAATATATAAAGGGATCTAGGGTATAGGTTCACCAATAAATAATACTCCGGGGTAAAATAGGGTAATCAATCATTGACATTGCATAAATAACATGATTAATAGGCTCTCGCTATTTATTAATCAACATAGATCTAACAGGTTCTCGCAATTTACTAGATCTAAGTCCTCATTGAAAATAGTCTTTAATATCAAATTAACATCTGCTCAATTCATCAATTTAATATTGCTATACTTTTACAAGCCGCAATTGTAAAACATTACAACAATCCAATAAGAAATTATCATGCAATACCAACAATCAATAATAGTCAATCATCAATGCGTCAATTAACCAGATTGTAAAAGGCTCACGCTACTTATTACAATCACACAATTAATTTATCGGTATTAAATCTCATCTCTCGATTTTTGACTTAACCATTTATAAATTAACTCGCCTATTGAAACTAGACCTAAACATTAATTCTCATCTCTCGATTCTTGAATTAATATTGTCAAACTCATGCATAAAAAATAGGCATAATCTAGTCACAGAGCATTAATTCAATCAATAGGAAATTAATCTAGCATTGATAATCAACAACAATAATTTACCCCTTCATATTATTTATTAGATCCCCATAAACCCTAGAAATTGAGCTACTCACACATACTAAAAACTAAACTAAACAAAGCAATAATATAAATCATGATCAAAGGAATAAAATAAATAACTGAGATTAAGGGAAAAGAAATCGTTACCAAAATAAATCTGAAATTAATCAAAGAAATGATAACAAAGGTTTAGAGAGAGAGTTTAGAGAAAGAAGTCTAAGTAGAGAGAAAAAAACTAAGAGAAAGGATTAAAAGAAGAAGAAGAGGAAGAAGATAAGATTCCTAAAAATCCGTACAAAAACGTATTTAAACAAAACTAAGAACAACTCCTAATTAGAAACTAATTGCTCGTCCAAAAACACCTCTCCAGACACACGCGCCCGATCGGGCTAGAAACCGCCCGATCGGGCGCGCCTTTTTGCCAGTGCTCCTTCTAAGTTGTCGCGCCCGATCGAGCTAGCAGCTCACCCGATCGGGCGCGCCTTCCCTTGATGGCACTCCCACACATCCGCCCGATCGGGCGATTGCTTGCCCGATCGGGCCCGGTCTTTATCTTCAAGGCTTTGGACTTCGACTGGGCTAGATTTCTCGGCCCAATCCATATTTCCTCTCGGGTCTCGAATACATGGTCCAATTGCCTCGCGATCCAAATAACCGAGCCCTTAATCACCGGCTCGATGGCTCTAACCGGTCTTGGGCTCCATAAGTGGTCGTGTTCTTCCAATGCTCGTAGTCGCTTCATAAAAATCCCGGGAAAATGCTCCAAAGGTGCAATTCCCTGCAAAACTCAACCAAAACTACGAAAACACTAGAAAACACACATTAGTAATAAAAGTGGCCCTAAAGGGCCAAAAACACTACTAATTATGACCAAGGGACGGGGGTAAAACACTATATAAAATAGACATATCAAGTAGGTAGTACTGTCTTTTTACCCTGCAGGGATAATAAAAAGTCATTCGGGACAAGCTTGGGAGACGAAAGAAAGGTTGCTTGTTGACACCAACCATCTTTTCTATTTTCCACCAAGGGATGACCCACTTGATGGCAAAATTGCAAGACCCGAAGACCTTCTTCCATTCATGGCGCCCCATCTTAGAGAAGCGTTTCTTCCTTCTCACAAAGCAGTTTGAAGTGTACTTTTCAATATTGTCTGGAGGACTAATTAATTCTAGTCTTTCCATTAGCTACATCTGTAAAAATTTAATGCAAATAAATTAATATTACTATACAAAAATATGTTTTTGATTTCTGTAATTAAAAATATTATTTTTCTACCTGTAATAAAATTGGAGAGCCCCGAAAAGGTGCTTTTGGATTTTTCTTTAATTCATCAAGACTAAGCATAGTCTCTGCGACAATTAATGGCATTGGATTTCTCCCAGATTCAATCTGCTCCAAAACAGTTGATATGATTGCTTAACCCTCATTAGCTCTACCACTAGTGAGAAGATATTGATTAAGCATGCAAAAAAGAAAAGCCCTTCTTCTATAAACATGAAAGGACTTAGAATAAGGTCTATCAAAATAATGGCGAGCAAATTCTTTCAAATTAACAATGCTACCATCTACTATATTTGTTAGTTCCTTGTCTTTTAAATTGAAGAAGCGCTCAAAATCCTTATAATAATATTCATTTATTCTACGGATTACTACAAGATCTAATGCAGGGAAGCCTAAGATAGCACCGAATTCTTCCGGCAAAGGGCTAATTTCATCATACCCTAATCTAAAACAATAAGTGTCCACATCCCAATATTCTAAGGCGGTATGAATAAAGTTTACATCAAGATCTACCCCCTTGACACCATAAATACCCCCCATATAAAAAACATCTAACTCTTTTCTCTCCTTGGCAGTTAGAGACCGACACCATTCATGAGTGAAGTTGGTAAAACTTTTAGAGACTAGAGACATGGTTATTATTTTTTCAAGAGCTAAGGTTATTTTTTAATCAGCTGAAATTAAATTATGAAGAAAATCGGCTGGGCAGGGGGCTATTTATGCACAAAATCGGCGCAGTTTTAATCCGGAAAGGATTTGGAGTCAGCTCTCATCAGCGTAAGACGCTAGACATTGGCGCTTGATGCCAGAGCCTGGCGCCAAGCGCTAAGAGTAGCGCCTGGCGCTAACCCAAAACGCGTGGCGCCAGATGGCGCTGACGTGTCTTATCATACGAGCTTTTCAACACCGCATTTTTTTGCCTGATTCGAGTCTGACCAATGACTTTGCGATTTTTTATTCTTTTTTATATCTTTTTTGTAAAATTATTTTTTCCTTCTTCTTAATTAATATAACCATTATATTAATTATATTATTTTTTGGATTCTATTTAGACTTAACTTTTAAGTTTTTTATAAATCCAATATTTTTTACTTTTATTTTTTCATTTTTTCTTTTTGGGGGAAAAAGTCGGGTACCCTCTATCAATAATAAAAATGACGGAATTTACGCAAAATTAATTACCACAATTCTTTGCACACACAAACATGCACATAAAAATAATAAATAAATAAATGATAAATAATAAAAAGTAAATATTGAATAAACTCATAGTAGTATGTATATATAAATATGTCTAAATAATAAGTCTAAATAAAGTTAAAGTTCTATACAAAGTCAAAATAAAAAGCACAGGAATAAACTACGGCGTCGGAGGACGTACACCCATCATCTCATAGAACTGCGCCGTACGAGGAGTGACCTCTCCACTAGCTCCAGCTCCAGCTCCAGTCTCTTCGGGAGGCGAAAAACTCAGCATAGGATCCGTCCACCCAAGATAAACCTGAGGCTGAGTCTGCGGAGGCTGTTGCGATAACGAGCCGACCTCGTACATCCCACCACCTCTAAGAGCCGAGGTAGCCTCTACTTGGCCTACCGGCGCATCGTGTGCACCCTCAGATGAAGAGCTTGAGCCCTCCACTGCCTCGATGCGGGCAACCTCAGAACGACCACCCCGACCGCCAGAACCAGTACGGCGACGTCTCGAGCTAGACCTCACCGGATCCCTCCGCACCTCAGGTCTCGTACGGGTACGAGAAGGAATGGGCTGACCCTGCAAAAGAAACTAAATTAGAAACAAGCAAAATAGAAGCAGTAATGCAAAAATAAGAAGGGAAACTACCTCCTAAACGGCGTCGTCGTGACAACATGTAGCCACATTCCTCATCCGAACGAGCTGGCTCCGGAAGGAATCTATGCACCGTGTCATCGCTGTGACCACCTCGCTCGAGAACTGTCAAGGAAGTAAAGTCAGTAATGATGCATAACTGTAGGGAATAATTTCAAGTCTTTAAAATCCCACTAGCTTGAACCCCACTGTGATCATACACTAAAGTACGGTGGCGTCCATATGGGAAGAAGATAGAACAAAAGAGTCGCCAATAAGTTTTTAAGGAACTTGTAAACCGTTGACGAGGTGAAGGTTACACCCCTTAACGATCCAAGAGATCGTCAACTCCATAAGGTCTAGAACCAAATAAGGGTTTGGGGATCAAGGTACAAATCCAACCTAAAAGAGATGGAACTTGCCCTAATAATAGGCCTCTACTTTATTCTGATCGTATTCATGTGCGCTTTCTGATTAACATGCAATCAATAGGATTAACCCTAAACCTGTTTAATCTATGTTGGTTGAAATAAATGCACAAATAAACTATTATTGACGATCACTTGAATTATAATCACAATTAACCCTAAACAAGATTATTAATTATCTTATTAAGCGTGATTACAAGTACCAAATTCCCTTT